CACCCTTCATTTCCCCTCACCGAGTGCATGTTACTCATGAAAGAATTCACTGACAAGGATGTCTTCCAGCTTAAGGGGAAAAATAGAATGAAAAAGCCTACTACTCTCCCTCCTCCAGCACCCTCAAACACTTAAGTTCTAAAACAATGTGTGTTGTCCAGGTCTCCCGTTTTCAGGATGTCCAAAGCTGGAACATAAAGGAGCTTCAGTTCATGTGCAGCCACCAGAAGCCTCCAGCAGCTTGAAAAGGCACCGCTACCTGCCTGCAATGAGTTTGTATTACTTGCTTCAAATGAATCGATTTAGACCCTCAATCAAAACTCCGTGTTCTGAACAATCTGAAGATCACAATCCACATGGAAGCTGTTTATACAGGATGGCTGTTTCCATCATTCCCCTAGGGAGTAAAGCATATAACTATTTTTTTCCAATAGAATAAACTTCAGCCCCAGGGTCCGACCTTTCCTCCTAGTAACTAGAGCCAGCTTCTTACTTATATTCCTATCACAAGAAACTTTTCTAGTGTGATACTGCCATAACCCCCTCAAAAGAGGTGATATAAGAGGATTAAAAATCAGGTTGCAAAAAATTATGTTTTTCGATAGGAAAAGGTTACTTACAATCTCTAAATTACCAGTCTCTAAAAGCTTCCAACTCAGTTTTCTTACTGCATCCATCACAGTTTTCAAGGACAAGTGAGGAAAAATATATAACCAAGTAGGAGATGATTGATTAGATTGCCAGAAAATAACCAGTATTATTTTATTATAATAGGTGGAAGTACTACAAGTTAACTACCATACTCTCTGCATTGGTCTATGCAAACATCTTCAACAAAAAACCTTTAAGTATTCAGTATCACTTGCAATTCTAAAAACTCCCAAATATCATCCCTCCAAAAGACCAGATAGATTCCAGTACTGAGTACTGGATCACCTTAAAACGTCAGGATCTGAAGACATGATGTCTCCTAATTTAGCAGCACATTTGAATAGGTGTTCTGATAATATATGGATAAAGTTTTAAAGACTATTTTAAAAAGGTCACTGATTAGGAAGCTGATGCTTAATAAACCAAGTTGCAAGAGGAACTTCAAAACCATCTGTGTTGTGATGCGTAAATATTCTCGTTGACTCCCATACACTCTGTAAACGGAAGACCTCAGAGTCTGACAGGACAAGAGCTGCCTGAAAGCAGGAGCTGTCTAGTTCACCACCACGTCCCCAGCACGTGCCAGGCACCTAGTAGGTAAGCACTCAATGCATTTTTGTTAAATGAATGAGTGTCGTTGAATAAATGAACTGTAGGAATAGTTTCTAAAAGTCAAAGGTTCAAGGAGAGATCCTTTTTCAGTAAAGATCTTAACATGTAATATTATGTTTGTACAGATTTAAAATTCGTCTGTTATGCCTTAAATATCACTAAAATTATCTTTTGTTTATCAAGAACAAAATGCACCAAATGCAGAGAAAATGGGCCCTGATTCAGCTGAATCTCACAGAACATTTTAAAAGGGGGAAACTGAGAATGAGAGCTATCACACCACAGCATACTGAGCAGCAAAAACTGGATATGCATATTTGATAACAATGCTCTCCAAAATTGTCAGTGTTCTCCATTTCAGCGAGGTAAGCATTTTTTCAGTCTATTGACTTTAAAAGTTTTCCTTCTGGTGTAGCCAAGAACTTACAGATTTCTCTTGTTGTAGTCCTCCCAAACTTTCCCACAACTTACCTGTGTGGCTTTTTACCAGAATTCCTTTTATTTGGAAAGTTCTTCTCTTTCCTCCTACCCCTAAATGCTAACTAAAAGCATCCTCCTCCTAAATACTGTCCTTTCTCATTTTATAGAAGCTTCATTTCCTTGAAGCCTGGTCTATTTCCTGAAGCTAAATTCACTGTGCTCTATAAAAGTGAAAATAAAATCATTCAAACCAGTCAAGCACAAAATCACCTACCAACTTGTACCTTCTGCCTGTTGTTCATCCCAACATGCCTTTCTAGTGGCACGCTTCTGTTCCTTTCACCCTTCTGGTAACTGTTTTCCAATTGGAAAAATTTTTCCTCTCCAGTCCACAAATCCTAAATCATACGTAGCCTAAAATTTTCTGCTATTAATTCTGTTCCCCAAGGCTAAAAAACCTTGATAAATGAAAGGAACTATGGGCAGAAATTAGCTTACTTGCAATACCAGTATTTTAATGTGCTGCATTATAACCCTTTGCATATATGTCGCCAGGAAGTGAATAGACAGAAATACGAAGGAAGGCACTTTACAAATACTCCATAAAGGTTACTGCATGCCCTGGCTGGCATGGCTCAGTGGATTGAGCACTGGTCAGAGAGCCTAAAGGTCTTGCTGGTTCCATTCCCAGTCAGGGCACATGCCTGGGTTGCAGGCCAGGTCCCAAGATGGGGGCATGCAAGAGGCAATCAATTGATGTTTCTCTCCCTCTCTTTCTCCACTCTCCTCCCTCTAAAAATAAATAAATATTATTTCATTTGTGTGTCCTAATAACCTTGAGAGGCACGCAGGACAGGCACTTATTAACCCATTTACATATGACAAAACTGAATATCAAAAAAGTTAAGTGACTCGCGCTCCAATGTCACATGACCAGCAAGTGTCAGCCAAAACCCCTATCGTAGCAGTCTTGCCTCTTCCAACCCAAAGGCCATCTATTATATACTCTCTGTATGTCTCTTTCATATAGCCAAGGAGAAACTTCCTAGAGATTGAGCACTACAAAGGGACGATGTCCCTCTGACTTTTGGAACACCATCTCCTTTTGGCTAACAAGCCAGAAAGCCACCTTCAACCTTCCTAACAGGAAACGATGCCTATTTCTTCTATATTCCACCCTCAACAACTACTTCTTTCCAAAATAATTTCCAACAGTTCCTATTTTAAAGGGACTTACTCAGAAGGCACTAATAGTCCAAAAACTTTGCATCAGCATATGATTCTCTCAATAAAGTTCAGGACTGATGCAACATTTCTGTCTCAGATTTTACAGCTAAAATGACAAGAACACTGAAGAGTCAAAAATTATGCAAGACAAGGCTACTTTTTTTTTTTTAACTCCAACACATCTGCCTCTATGGGTCTCCTGTGAGTCATTGTCTTTTGTGTTCAGTCATCATAGGAACTGCCATTCTCTCTATTCTAAATTATTTTCCTTAAAGAAAAGTTCTGCAATAGAAAAAGAATTCTATTATATCTTTCTTCTCCTTGCTGAAGCACTGACCCCTTAATTTAGTGCCTCAAATACCATGTTGTCCCAATTTTCATCACTACCATTTTACACAGAGAGGCAAAGTAAGGTTGCAATTCATTCATTTATTCATTCAACAAACACATGAAATCCTATCAGACGCCAGGGACTAGGACTGAAAAATGAACAAGAAGTATCCCTCCTCTCACAGCCTGGTGGTGAGGAAAACTAAAGAAGTAATTACAGAATAAGCTGATCAATATTAAGGTGGAGGTGAGCACATGGCTTGGGGCAGCGGCCATCATGGAATGATTCCTGGAAGAAGTGACCTGTGAGCATTTATATGCATCTCTTTATTTATTCTCATTATAAAATAAACCTGAAAGATTCAACACCACTCCTTAAAAGGTTATTAGATTTACTTGCCAATAGTCAAGTCAAAAATCTAATTTAATAGCAAAATTTATTGATTCTCTGCCCCAAATTTCAACCCTTAACTCATACTCCCTTAGCACAAATTACAGAGGGTTTAACATTCTGTCCTATACACTACTCTGCCTTCTCACAAGTCCATAGAACAGGATTAAAGATGTGTACAATGAAATAAAATGTATTTTTAAAAAATACAATCATTTTCCTAACTGGAAATGAACACTGAACAATCCAAGCCCCACAAAGCATGGCTGTCAGAAGAGGAAACTGAGGTTCAAAAGTCCCACTTCAAGACAACAGAATAAAAGGTCTCTTTGAAGTCACCAGAACAGCTTGAACAAAAGAGAAACAGAAGGCTATTGTGGGGACTTAGCCTCCAGATGATGAACCCCAAACACACTGCAATGGTAAATAAACAAGCCTCTGAGCAGGAATCTCATTCAGTGACCTAACAAAACATTACAATTTAAGGAATCTCTTCCCATTCATTATTTCCCGAAGTTCCACTGCTTGCAGCTCCTGTTTTCTTTCCTAGTTCCTGGGTTTATTACTTGTAAATTATAATGTATAGTGTGCTTTCCAAAAAAGGTACAGGCAAATGAAAACAACCATGGTTTTAAAGCCACATAAAAGACAGTATATGTAACGTAAATGAACTCTGCCAGTGTTTACTATGAGGACCTATTACTCCTTTATACTACTCCAGTGGATTTTAAACTCCAATGAATGCTACCACTGCCCACTAAATAGCAGGTTAGAGTCAGGAAGGAGCACATTCACACACCTGCCTCAGCAGGACTCCAGACTGCCTCCCCCACGGTTTCCCAGTGCCTCGGCCAAGCACCTGACCTGGAAATGTGGCTGCAGACCCCAGCCTCTTTCGTTCAGCTGACCCAGCAAGCAGGCTCTGAAGTCCCGTTGCCATTTGGCCCGACACACCCTCCTCCCCACCACTTAGGTCCCCAGCGGAAAGGAGGCAAACTCGGCGGCCTCAAAGAGAAGGCTGGCGGCGGGTATAAAGGGAGGGGAGGGTCCTGAACGGTCAGTTTAACCGCCCGGCCCTAGGAGCCCAGCCCCACCCCCAACTCGGAGTCCCCTCCAGGGCACCGCCGAGCCCCTCCCGCTCTTTGGCCCCGGGGGCTGCGATCCCAACCGTCGAGCCTTCCGGACCTTAGCGAGAGCCTGGGCCCCGGGGGCCCAGACCTAGAGCCACCGCCGCCCCAAAGCCCTCCCGGCCTGGGCCGCCGACCCCTGCCCTCGTCCCCGCCCGCCCGGGCTTCCCTGCCCAGCCTCCCGCAGCCTCTCGCGGCCCGGGGCCGCCCCGCGCCGTCTGTCCAACCGGCGGGCCGCGCACCGTGTGGGACTGCAGGCTCTGGCTCGCCTCGATGGCTGCTGTCAGCGGCACCGTGTCGTCCAGCAGCACCTTGCCGGCCGGCGGCTTCTCCATGAAGGCCATCCCGGGACGCCGGTCCGCCACCGCCTCGGGACCAGGGGCAGGAACCACAGGCGCCGACTCCCGCCGTCCGCCCGGCTCTGCCGCCGCCGCTGTCAACACGCGCCGCCCCACGCGCCGCAGCCACCCGCCCGGCCCGCGGGGTCCTAACGCCGACCGTCCCCACCGCCGCTGCTGTCATCACTGGCCGCCGTTCTCGCCGCTGCCTCCCGCGGGGTCCTAGCGCCAAACTTCCGCATCGAGAGGCCCTGGACCCGCCCCTCCGAGATCCTCGCAGCTGCAACTCACACCGGGTACCCTTGGCTCCGGTCCTCTGACCGGGGACACTTTACTCTAAGCCATCGCGTCCAAAGACCCTCAGATCCGAAGACACTGCGTCCTCAGCCCTGCGATCCAGGTACCCTCAGGCCCAGTTGGGCTTTTCACGTTAGGCCCTCAAAAGCTGGGACTGTCAGGCTTGAAACCTTTACAATTGGACTTTTGCCACCCAGTCCTTTGAGATCCAAGGACCCTAAGACTCAGTAAAAAAAAAAGGCCTTCAAGGATGAGACTCTCAGTCTGCACCCTGCAGATCCAGAGATTTTTCTAAAACAAGTCCTTCCAATTCAGGTTTTACGGGAACTTCTGCACCTCACTCTTCAAACCCAAAAACCTAAGAGCTGGGCCTTCAAAATTAGATCTCACAGCTGGAGCCCTTGGACTGCAGAACCCTCAGCCCCATGCTCTGAATTAACTGGGAACCCTAAAAAATGGGCACTGGTCCAGGGACTACCAGCCTCTAACCTTAGCCCCAGCTCTTAGCTCAGTCCACAAATCCTTCAACCCAGAGAACCCTCAAACATGACCCCTCACTTGAGGTCCTCAGTCCCACTGTACCAGCTCTAAGAACCTCAAACCCAGAGCCAGAGAACTTTGCGCCCACCTTCGTCCCAAAGTCTGTCTGAACCCAAGGCCACAGTCCTGGCACTCCTTACAACCTCAAGCCTCCCCCCACCACCCCTACCCCCCCCACACACACATAGAGATCCCACCCACACTGGTCTCTCCCAGGGCAGTATCCCAGGATCAGTTAGACTTGGAATTAGACAACCAGGATCTCCAGGGCTCTGGCATTTACCAGCTGCGTGACCTTGAATAAGTTACTCAACCTCTCTGAGCCTAGCTCTCCTTCTGTAAGATAAACATACTTGTATGGAAAGTTTGGTATGAAGAATGCAGTAGGATGGGAAGGGGCTTGGCACATAATAAAAGCTCAAATGATATTTCTTTCTTCAGTTCACATAATGGAGGGCTTCTAACTCTTAAATTTGTATCCCCTAAATTTATACATTACAGACAACAAGAGAACAGTTTCTTGGTAACACCACCACCACCCAAAACAATTTGACATCACAGCAAATGCCTAAACCATATCTAACTGGTACCCTCTCCAGATCTCAAACTTAATGGGATTGTTGGGCAACACCAAGTGGCAAAGGAGCCTTGACAGACTTACACAGGGGCTAAGACCCAGTGGATAAAAATGTGAAGAGGAAAACATGGAACTTACTGATTCAGTCCTAAAATAATAGGAGCTCTTCCTTCATTGTTTTTGTCCCAGTGTGTTTAAAAGCATCAGTCTATTAAAACAAAATCATTTCCATTTAGAGAGGATTCAACTTTTAAATTTTATTTCTTTAAGGCAAATGGATTATTTCATTGCCATAATATGACACCCAAATTCTGCTTTAATCATTTCTCCTGTCATGTGGACTGACCATAACAAAGCTCTTCTTGCATGCTGCTGGTAGAAGTATAAATTGGTCCAACCTTTCTGAAAGGCATTTATTCATGCAACAGTTATTTACTGAGTATTTACCATATAATAAGCCTGGTGCTGGGATTTGACAATATATATCAAGGGCTTTGAAAATGTTCTCAACCAGTAATTCTGCCTCTAGGAGGGTACCCTAAGGAAATGATCAGAGATCAGTGGGACTATAGAGCATGTGAAGAAAAGTATCTAACAATAGGGAACTGGACAAATTGTGGTCAACATAATTGAAATATTTTGCAATGATTAAAAATCAGATTATCAAAATAATCAGATTATCAAAGAATATTTAATGATGTTGAGAAATGCTCTTGATATAATAGTAAGTTTAAAACAAAAAAGGAAACAATACGTTTGGCTTTTAGAACACAGGTTTGAACTGCCCCAGTCCACTTATCCGTGGATTTTTTTCAATAAATATAAGTCAGCCTTCAGTATCATCCCCAGTTTTGCATTCACAGACTGAACCAACCGTGGATCAAAAACAGTATGTTTAATCCAGGGTTGGGAATCTGCAGATACAGGGGGCCGATTGTATGCACTCCCCACACCATTTTACATAAGGGACTTGAGCAACTGCAAATTTGGATATCCATGGGGGGTCCTGGAACCAACCCCCTTGGATACCAAGGGTTGACTGTGATTAAGTTTTAGGGGAATCAAATGTTACATGTGGATTTTCAATTCCATGGGAGTCAGTGTCCCTAACCCCTGTGTTATTCAAGAGTCAACTAACTGTACATGCATTTGTATGATCCCAAGTTTTAAAAATATTTATAGGAAAAACCCCACAAGAAGATACACCAAAATATTATCTTAGGGTGTCTAGGAAGTGGCATCATGATGTCTGCCATTTTTATGCTCTTGTTTTTCTAAAATGTCTATAATGAAGATATTTTGTGTGATTAGGGGGGAAAAAGATCTTACAAAGTACAAAGGTCATAAAATAACAACCTTGTCTAGTCTTCCTTACTAGGAAAAGGAAACTGAAAGTGAGCAACCAAGTACTTGATGGGATGAAGCCAGAAACTACCAACTCTCGGTCTGGCCTTTCCCTTTCTCTGAAAAGCCACAGAAGCAAGCCCCTCAGAATAAATACAGTGGTGAACCTTATAATTTCATTTTCATTTTCCCAAAGCAGTGCCTTGTCAGTAATTCTCTGAGGATTTTGGACTTAACTGGATCCCTAGATTCACTGGAGACCAGGCTCCAAACTCTGTGAGTGCCTCAACATCTGTTCCACTTTCGAACTAGTTCACACAGCATCTGCAGAAACCCTCCCCGTGTAGGGCTGAGCTGAATCAAATCAGTTTTGCTTCCAGTCTGTCAGTCTGGGCAAAACTAATGAGGTATGCAGTACCTTAGTTTTTGCCATGTACCCTACAACTAATGGCTATCAAGGGAAAAAGATTTATATTCTTATATGTTGCCAAAGGTTAGATGTCCCACAGGTTATCTAACAACTTGACATTTGGCCAGATCGGCTAAAGATGAATTTTTTTAATGATGCTGCTAGACCTGGCAACTGCTCCACAAATCAAATCATAGAAACTTGTGGAAAACTCAGTGCTTCCTAAGTGGCATTACCTCTCAACTCAAAAGTTTTATTTCTTAAAATATTCATGATCTGGAAAGACAAAATTCAACTCACATTTGATCATTTTTATTTCCCTTATGTGTGCATATTGCCCATCACATCACAGAGGAATGTTCCCAGGGTATATAGGTCACATAAACTGTGTTATAGCTAAGAGCCACCTAGAAATTGTCTATGGGACTTCCTATTAATTCAGTTCTATTTATGTAGTGTCAACATTAGTCTTGGGTTTTCTTGTGATTTTGAACTTAGATGTTTTGCTAGTTGATTTTGCTCCAACCTGAAATTTCACTGAAGATGTTGGGAATTCTTGTCTCTGCTGTAATTCAAATGAAAACAAGCCAAGAACAGAGGAAGTAAAACATCTGGGACTCTGGAGATACTCAGTTGCAGCCCAAAAGTAATTCCACCGTGCTCCAATTCCGCTCAGATAGAGCCAGTTGATAAGTTATGCCAACACATGAGGCATTCAGAGTGGCACAGCTGCTCAGAGTGACAGTCAACCCTTGGTAGAGTATGTTTTAATATAAAAATTTAATAAGTGTAATTTAATAGCAATTTTCTTTGAGAGTAAATTGGTCTCTGAATCATACTCTAAGAACATAAAAGAAAATGGCTAATAATTTAGTGCAAAATGAAAACCTGTGGTTACCTAAGAGGTACTGTTGTGCACTTAGCACTTTGTTTTTCTAGACAAATACGTAAGTCCACGAGATGAATGCTGGCTGTGGTAAGGCTTTCTCCCTGTTGTTACCAAAGATCTGCTGCTCAGAAAAAGAAACAAGTGGCATTTTACCAATCTGAAATGTTTCTAATAGAATATAAAAATCTGTTAAGCAATTTTCCAGTACATTAGGCTGAAATTGCTTAAGATGAGTCTATTTTCCCGGGACAATCAAACACTGCATACATTGCAGTCTTATAATGCCCCTATGTGGAAACTGTTAGCACAATTTGGCCTGCTATTTTAGTCACTTCATTTGTACTCACTTCCATGTAAGTACAAATGTGACCTCACATAGTCAAGGCCACCTCTGTTACCTGGGAGAGGATTTCCTAATGTGAGGATCCCCCATGTTTCCATTAGAAGTCATTCTTTTTGGCAGCTCATATGTACAGGGTTCAAAATGGGAAAGCCAACCTGCCAGTTTTCCTTATAGCCTAGCCACCTTTAACAAAGCTGGTTTGAGAATCTAGGCTCCAAGTAAAAATAAGTCATTTACGGGAAAGCACCCCTAACGTCTTGCCTACTTGTCTCTTCCAACTTTTTACTGATTTAAAGAGATCAAAGACCATGACAACTACGGAGCACTAAAAAAATGGAAATGACTTTGAGAAACTACTCTTGAGTTACACAGTATAAGCTAACAGCGAGTTCTGACATTCCACCCTACCCCACCATACATGGCGTGTACATTTTTCATATTTAGAGTAACCCATTCAATAATTCTGCTCTGAAGACAAGTAATCACTGAGTGTCCACTTAGAAAAAGGGTAGGAATAGGGATGGCTGGAAGCTATGAAGTAATAGTATACAGGAACACGCTATAATTGTAGCAGGGAATAAGATCGAGAACATTCTGAATACAAAAAGAAAAATCTATAGAACAATGTTTCCAAATACTTAATGCCACATGAGAAGGTACTATTATAGAAACAGACAATGCCCTAGTAACAGAAACATTATGAGACACACAGGGTGATGGAAAAAAAGAAATGCTTTGGAGTCGGGTCAGCCTTTTTGAATGTCAGCTCTACTGCATACTAACTGCACAACCGTGGGCAAGCCACACAGCATTAGTCTGTTTCCTTGCCTATAAAATGGAACAGTGTAAGATTAACTTCACAGTTATTCAAAGGATTAGTTAATGTAGAAAATTGGCTCATTGGGTATTGAAAAAATGGTAGCTATTATTAATGATCATATCACAGCCCACTTATGAATCTACACTTCAAGACGGCTAAGTCACAGAAAATGAGTTCTGTAGGAGAATTTAAATATGGCTTCAAGTCCGTATTTTGTGCAAGTTCCCATTTTTCCAATGTTGTAACAAATTTTCAACATGTGTAGTGTTTTATCTATTAGCAAACCTTTTTCAGGTGCATCTGAGCCTGTGAATGCTGCCCATTCTGAAACTCATGAGAATGGTATTCATGCTTGTCAAGTTGATTTTGGTTATTTTCATCTTGGTCACAAACTAGTGTATCGTACAATATTAAACGGGTTTAAAATACTCACTTTATACACACCACTGCCCTCTAGTGACTAGAATAATTCTTTCAAATAACCCATTTAGTTGTTCCCTTAATGTGAAAAAGTATAATAAAAATCTAGTTACTGATCTACTAGCAGGAGGAAAAATCTTTTTCCAGGAAACGTGGGTTGATCCAACCAACTACACCTGATCTTACCTCCCTGATCAAAGCATCTAGCTGTGGTCAGAGCCACCATCTAAAGCCACAGAGCACAGGTGGACCACGTGTTATGTTCCATTACAGATTGTCTTAAAAGGGTTAGCTGTGGTGGAGATGACCATTAAATCCTAATATATTGAGCACATTTTCTCTGCAACACACCTCAGCTCTTAAGAACTTGGCCTCCACAATATTCCTTATACGTTTTATTTATAATTTTATTTTTACAAGCATATATTATTTATATAAAGGGGCAACCCACAATATTTTCAAGGAAGAGAGAAAATAATCTGGATTACTAAAATAGAAACTTTGCACTCAAGATCTATTCCAGGTTTAGAATACCAAGAGATTGGTTGACATCATAAAGATTGGGCTGTTTACCTGTGGGCCAGTTAGCTTTAAACTTAGGCTAACCTCCTTCACAGAGCAGAATGGACAATAGTAGTAGCTACTGGTCACAGGCAAGGCCTTGTGTTTTGCTATTTGTGTCTATCATCTTCAACAATCCTGTGTGGTGTTATTACCCCCATTTTATAGATTAGACCAAGAGTTTACATAACTGAGTCCAAGTCTGCATATAAACCTTTTTCTGATAGCAGGAAAACCATCTGAAAGGCAAGTACCACCTGAAGGTTAGACAAGATGCCATCTTGGTGTAAACAGTAACAAATTACAAAAAACTCTGACCCAGAAACTGCTGAAGAACAGTATTCAAGGCTATTTACTGGTAAAAGATAGGTGTTCAAAGATGATCCAACTTCTTTTGTTGCCTTCAATAAAAGTACTAGCTAGCTATAGAGTCAGTGAGAAATTTATTCTATATATAGTTAAATTTGTGTCATCCAAATGAAAATTTAACTTGGTTCAAAATCCTAAAAGTAGAACCTTTAGCTACATTATAACATTTCCAATATTTTTTCAATTTTACAAACCTAGACATGATAAATATACTCAAGTATGCATGAAGCATTAAGGCCAAATTATCAAGTAGGCATGTGAACACCTTGCTGCCTGCTCCCCTCCCCCGTATAGGAGATGCTGGATCTGCTGGCCATTCCTTGTTGAAGAATAGCAATGTTTTCCTCAGAGGCACTTCAGTAACAGTGACACTGATGTCTGAGCTTGCATCTTTAAACACATATATCAGGATTTGGGAGCTTCTGGAACCATAACTTTAACCCAGCCTTCCATAACAGTCTTTTCACTTTCTCTTACAAAACATGACACAGCAATAACAGCAATGAACTGCTTCAGCCTTTTCACTTCCGCAGAAGCTAAAACAACTTCTCCAACATATAAAGGGGCTGGAAAGTTAATTTCCTGGGAAAGAAATACACAGCCTGGTCCTGGCATTTTAGTACCCAGGAGAGCTGAAATAAGTCCATTGATCAAAACTCCATGTACAATTGTCTTTCCAAACTTGGTGTGTTTTGCAAAATCTTCATTTAAATGCAAAGGATTGACATCCCCCGTTAATTCTGAGAAGGCAACCACATCCCTCTGTGTGAAGGCCCTGCTGAGTTCAGCCCGGTCTCCAACTCTGATGTGCTTTTGCTGAAAGTGCTGCCTTCTTACAACTAGCTGGTTCATGCAGATTCCCCTCTGAAGCCTACTCCACCAAAGACGATGGCTGGAAATTACTGGCAACATCTTCAGCACCCTCAGATTCTATCAACAGGAGCGTTTGGCCTGCTTCAGTCTTCAAACATGCTGGCACATGCTTTGGCAAGCTGAGGGATGTTTCTGGAAATTGAGGACTATTCAATCCAATACTAATTCTCTACTATTACCGGATAACGCAAGGAGAAAGGGAGAGACCTGTAGGATGAAGAAAAATGTTAACACAGTATCAGGAGAAAATTGCACTGAAACACAGGGCAATGTAGAAACATACTCAGTTTTATAGGATAAGCCAAGCAGATGCAGTAGCATTTTTAATGAGCATCTTGCAAGGTAGCATTAGGTAAGTGGTCATGATAAGCTCAGTAAGAGCATTCCGATACAGAAGGCACTAGTCATTATGCAATAAAGGAAAAGTTAAGATTTTCCCACAAGTGTTCCAAGTTTTATCCCAAAACTCCTCCCATATAATCTAAGTGCTTTGTGTAACGTTGCTAGAAGCAATGAAATTATGGATTCCTCCTGCCTCCCTTAGGTGGGTGATGTTAATCAAACGAGATTTATGTAAGCACAAAAATGGAACACACATTATAAAGCAGTTTGATCAACTACTCAGCCTTGTTTGGAATATGTGAAGGAACAGCCTTTACCTGAATCACTTTGAAAGCGCATTTCTTGCCTTTATAGGATCCTAAAAGGGTCAAAGAGCTCCACAGTTTGACAAGACCACTGTGGAAACATTAAGAAAGCATTAAGGAAGATTCATCCCTACAATATCTCCCTAGTACTTTTGTTTGTGGTCGTCCAGAAAACCTAATTTAAATGAGAAAAATTTAAAGCACAGTGTATCACAGGCAAAGAATTAAATGAACCTCAATCCGGAATGTTTCTAAAATATTTCTGAGTTTACCACCATCATTTGGGAAACACTAAAGTTATAGGCAAATCACAAGTTTTGCTCTCTAGGGTGTAAGCTCCTGCCAAATGAATGTTCATATTCTCCCTAGTTTAAACTTCCAAAAGCTGTTCACAGTTCACAATGGCAAAGCTCTTCTTATTCACAGAACAGAGCTTTTTTTGCTCTATTCCCCCATCTGTCTCTCTTCTGTGTTATGCTAGAAATGCTTTACTGTCTGTTGTACCTGCTACATATTCTCAAGATGGCTGACAAGGTCTTCTCTTCATAGGTTATGACATCCAAGGGTAAAGCAGCATCAACCTAAGTATGAAATAATGCTATTAGCAGACTTACTACCATCATCAATCTTGAACTCTAGTAACTAATCCTGTTAATTGCTCTTCTCCTCCAAAAAGCAGTATTTTATTTAATGGTGCTGAAGTACTGGGCCTGCTTATTTAGGACTCCCCCTTGCCAGGAATGTTCTTCCTGTAACTTTTCACATTGCTAATGTTTCTTTTATTTTTAATCTTTATTTATTTTGAGAGAGGGAGGAGGAGAGAGAGAGGGCGAGAAACATCGAGTTGTTGTTCCACCTACTTATGCATTAATTGGCTGACTCTTGTTATGTACCCCGACCAGGGACTGAACCCCAACCAAGGACTGAACCCATAATTCAGGCACATCAGGACGATGCTCCAACCAACTGAGCTGTGTGGCCAGGGCTACTAGTATCTCTTCACCCTTTAAATCTTCATTTAAATTGCTCCTTCCCAGATCCCCAAGATTAAGCTCAATCACTTGCTATGCTCGCTCACATACAGGACCCACACATTTCCTCTTCCATTATATTCATCATGCTTGCCATCAACCGTTCAACATGGTTGCCTCCTAAACCTAACCAAGACCATTAATCCATGAGACAGAGGCCATGTCTGCTTGCTTATAGGAAGCAGGTTTTATACCTGAAATAGAGATGAACAGATTTTTTTCCTTAAACTTATTTCTAATTATTTTATTTTATTGAATTTATTGGGGTGACACTATTAATAAAATTATATAGGTTTCAGGTGTACAATTCTACAATGCATTCTCTGAATATTGTATTGTGTGTTCACCATCCCAAGCTTTTTCTTAAATTTTTGATTTTAAAAAATTAGAGTCATGGAAGATTGCAAAGAAACGCACAGGAAGGCCCCATGCACCCTTTACCCTGCCTCCCCCAGAGTAAACATCTTGCATAACTATAGTATGGTATCAAAACCAGGAAACTGAAATTGATAAACCAGAGTTAATTCAGATTTTACCAGTTATACATGCACTCATATTTGTTAGCTTGCGTGTGTGTATATGTAGTTCTATGCAATTTTACCACATAGGTGGTTTCATGTAACCACCACAATCAAGATAAAGAACTATACCACCACCGGCTCTCTCCTTCTACTCCTTTACAGCCATACCTACTCCTCCTTGACATCCCTAACCCTAGGCAACCACTAATCTTTCTCCAGATTATATAATTATGCTATTTTAAGAAAATTACGTAAATAAAATCACCGAGTATGTTATTATTTGGGATTGTCTTCTTCACTTAGCAAAAACTCTCTGGGGATTTAGTCAAGTTGTGTGTATCAATAGTGTGTACATTTTTATTATTTAGTATATTCCATGATATAAATGTATTATAGTTTAACTATTCACCCACTGAAGAACATCTCGCTTACTTCTGTTTTTGGGCTCTTACTAATAAAGCTTCTATGAATGTGCATATATATATTTTTGTGTGAATGTTAAGTTTTTCTCAAGGATAAATACTCAGGTATGCAATTGCTGAGCTGCACGGTAGGTACATATTTAGTCTGTTTAAGAAACTGCTGAACTGTGTTTCAAAGAGGCTGTACCATTTTACATTCCTAACACCAATGTATGACTAATTCAGTTTCTCCATATCCTCATCAGAATTTAGTGTTATCATTATTTTTTATTTGTCATTCTGTTAGGTGTATAGTGATATTTTATTGTGTTTTTAATGTGCATTTCCCTAATGGCTGATGATGTTTCACTCATGTACATCTTTGCCAACTGTACATCCTTTTGAGTAAAATGTCTATTCATGTCTTTTGCCCATTTTCTTAATTGTATTTTTGGTATTTTCTTAATTGTACAATTTGAGTTTTGAGAGTTCTTTACACATTCTAGATATTAGTCCTTTGTCAGATATGTGGTTTGCAAGTATTTTCCCTCAGTCTGTAATTTGTCTTTTCATCCTCTTAACTGAGTCTTTTGTAGAATTAAAGTTTTTAATTTTGATGAGATGCTTAGGAGATTTTGATTTAATAGAGTATATGAATCAAGAAATATTTCCTGGTAATTATCTTAGCTCTCTCTCAAAACTCTGTTTTCAAGTGAATGCTAGAACAAGACTGCTCAGAGTGCTGGTCTCTGATAAGATAGGCAGCTGCATCAGAATGTAAATCAACAATACCAGTGAGTGTACTGTTTGGTTCAGCTCAGTTTTGTTCACAAGGAGACTTTCTCAGTAAAGGAAGTGGTGTGCTGATTTACATTCTACTGTGAGCCACAGATCTTCAAAATGGGCAAAAAGACAAGTTTGCAGGTTGTCAGCCTGAACCCCACTTTGAGGAGCACTGCACTAAAATAAACGTTTGTCTAACAAATTCCTTGTTAAAAAGAAGGCATACTGAACATACCTACCAAAATTTCATCATTTCTTAAAGTCTGCTTCTGAAATTTCAAATATGGTTTTAAAGTTTTAAAATGTTTAGAAAAGTATTCTTTCAGTATTTACTACAAAGATCTTAGGAGTGTTCAATCTACCAAGTGATTCCATACCTCCCCAAATAGGTCCTTCAGGGCTGAAAGAAGCAGCTGCTTGAACTGTGCAGCATTCAGTCCAACTGCACGATCTTGAAATTCTCTGTAAAAACATGAAAAAGAAAAATATGTTGTATTAAATTGTATGCTATTGAGAGTCATACAAAAATAATACTAAAAAATAGAACTGAGGAGACTGAACTTACAGACAGACTTTCATGTAGTGGTGCTCTGAGGGATTTTTGTAAACTACTCTTTCATATGTGGCAGCTGGGGCTGGCATCTTTTCTAGTGCTGGTTACACCTATGTTAAAAGTCAAGATGGTTAGAAATTAGCAAGGTACACTCTGTTTTTCACTTTTTAAATAAGAATTTGACCTATTTGATTTTTTAAAGAACTCCTAAGGACAGTAACATCCAATTTTGGTCAAACTAAGGTTACTCATGCAGACACAAAGGAAGTTTCTATATTTTATATTTCAACCTATTATATTCTTATTTAAATTCTAATACTATAATCCCACCAAATATTTTTCCTTACTGAGTACCCAGCTCTGTGCTAAATGCTTCATGTGCCTGAAGTCATGTCTTCAAAATGATCATATGAGATAAAAGCTATTGCTATTCCCATTTTTGAGAGGATAAGGAGGCTTCACAAAAATACATAACTGCCCAAGGGCATACAGAAATTCCAACCACTCCTGACTGCCCTCAGGACCACTCTGGTATGCCTCTTAATTTAAAAAGGTAAAAGCAAAAAGAGCAAAATCTGGGATCTGAAGGCCCTCGCCTTGTTTACTGTCAGTCAACACAGAACACGAACAGGAGAATGAGGTGGTAGGTAGTTCTGTTGTCGCCACCCATGCTGGATCTGCAAATTTTTTCAGTCCAGGGATTAGGTCAGCACAGGTCTATCTGGCAACCCTATGAAAGGCTGAGCAGCAAGGGGTTTGAGAGGAGGAATTCCTGGAATGCACACTCAATGCCATTTTTCACAGATCTGAAACTCTGAAGAACCCAAAACATGCTGATCTCCCCAGAGATCCTTGGCTCCAGCCCTACCTCATTCTCCCTCTGGATAGATCCTATTCAGCCTTCACATTTTAGCTTTGAGTTCACCTCTTCCAGGAGGTTCATCTCTTCAGGGAGGCCTTCTTTGACACTCTATTCTAGGTTAGGTTCCCTTGTTATACAATCTCTTAACACTGTCCATTTGTTTAATATCTAGTTCCCCCACTAAAGGGACCAAGAAACCTGAGGCCCAACCAAGGAAAGGGATTTATCAAAAGTAACAAAGCTATACAACAGCACTTGCAAAGCCCTCTGTGGATCAGGCCCAATTCCAACCACTAACAAATGATGGCCACTAGAGGAAATGAGAAGTCAGGGTCAAGGAGTTATATCCACCTATCCAGTGGACAAACGTATTTACTTTGTCTAGCACAGAGTAGGTATTCAACACTTACTGAATACATGATTGAATGAATGGTGGAAGTGTTAGGTCTATATGTTCAAGAATATCTTTGGTTTTAGGACCACAATGATGATTACCTGGTGCTTCTTTTCCAATCACTGGTCTTCCCTCACAAGAAGGGCAGGGAATTATTTCATTCATTGCCTGAAGCATGATAGGTGTTTTTAGGTGTTACTGTCTGCCTTGATGGCATTAACTGCTTGAGGTAGGGGGAATGAGATTGGACCTAGGGTTTAGGATTCCAATAACAATGAAGACTTACGGAGTATTCTGGAAATGGATAGTGGTGATAGTCGTACAACATGAGAGTGTACTTAATGCCAACGAACTGTACATTAAAAAAAAAAGACTTGAAGAGCAAGTACTGAGCTGTCACCTCTGGCTAGACAAGCCTAAACTTCAGGGTCAACGATAACACTGCCCTCTACAGGCTGTCCCGAGACCTAAAAGGTTGATGCCTGGGAAGCCCGTATTCACCAGGCTCACCATAAAAAAGTGTGCCCTTCTATACTCATTGCCATCAAGGTCTTTGAAGTTAAGCCTTTTTAATGGCTACTCCTGTGTTCAAAACCTTGCAGTCGTTCCCGGTTCACTCAGATAAGCCAAAGTCCCTCACGTCCTGCCATTTTCCCCTGCTCAATCTCTTCCACCACACAGGCCTCCTAGCTCTTCACACACCAGTTTCCCTCCCGCCTCTGGGCCCCGCTCCTAGCGTTTCCACAAGCTGGGAATACTCTTTCTCCAGATAGCCACATGGCTCACTCCCTAGCTTCCTTCATGGCTTTGCTCAAAACTCACCCTCTATTTGGTCCAGTGGCTATCAAATACGGCAACTCCCCACACCCCCATGCACTTGCTCGACTCTTCTCACAGCACTTTCCCCTTTGGAGCATAACTATGTAATTCTTATTTGTGTTCCCCTCTCCGTCCCCACAGAATGTACACTTCACAAGAAACAGGGATCAGTGTGGTTCACTTTCCCAAGAACGTCAAACAGGGCAGCACACACGGTAAGTATTTTACATATATACACATATATGTAATGTTTGAACTAAACCAATTTTTTTTAAGCACTTTGCCTACGCAGGACTTTGTTCGACAAACGTCAGCTCTGTATTTAGCGCCCACCTGACACCCGGCGCACGCACTCTGCACACGTGGTCCCGCTCAGACCTCGCAGCCACCCTCAGCTTCCGCGACCGCGCTGCGGAGAGGCCCAACAAGATTCGCGGCCGAGCGTATCCTACCGCCCGCCGCGTCCTCCGCCGGGGCGGAGAGATACTTCTATTAGATCGGCGCCGTCCGCCACACCCGCTTGCGCATGCGGCTTGGTTGCGTTTCCTGCGTCCCCAGCGCGGCCGACTGAACCCACCCAGAGAAAGCACCCTCTTTGCTGTGGTCTTCCCCTACCCGCTCTCCGCCGGACTATGCTGATGCCTCCCTGACTCCTGTTCACGGAAAGAATCCGCCAAGGCCCGGAGCTTCCCTATTGGGGCCCGAGCCTGGGCCGAGAAACACCGGGTGTTTATTTTTGGCTTCCGCCTGCTCCGCCTCCCGGATGCGTGACTGCTAGGCACGGATATGACGTCACTGCGCGGCGTCCTAAGGATCGGGGCGGGAATTTCGGTCCGGCGCGGAGGCTCGCTGGCCTAGGTGCACTCTGGTGCCCAATTAGGACGAAGCCGTGTGTGCAAATACCTTTATGGGATACAGGACTCGGGGTATATTTATTCGGTCTTCACAGCCATTTATTTATCCATGCACGCATTCAGTGTGCAAATTTATATCTAGCATTTCTTCTGCTGAGCACCTCTTATGTCAAGCACTCCTCAACGACAGGGCTCGCTGCAGTTGGAACCACTCCTATTGCGGCTCTCAAACCACAGTAGGTGTTCAGTCTGAGTTGACATAAAAAGACCCAGATGGTTCCATCTACAAATGGTAGCCAAGTTTTATCTATGCATTTATTTATTAAGTTCTATAATGTGCTAGGTACTGGCGACTCATTGAAACACAAGAAGATACAGCTTCTATTATCATGAAACATAGTGTTTGTATTTAAAAGTAACAGGTAATAATCACTGGCTGGTATGGCTCAGTGGATTGAGTGCCGGCCTGTGAACTAACTGATAGGCTGCAGGTTTGATTTCCAGTCAGGGCACATACCAGGGTTCCCGGCCAGGTCCCCAGTTGGGGGCGTGCAAGAGGGAACCGATCCATGTATGTTTTTGTCTGGTACATTGATTTTTCTCTCCCTTTCTCTCTCCCTTCGTCTCTCTCTAAAAATAAATAAATATTATTTTTTAAATCACAAAAGTAACAGCTAATATTTATCAAGCGCGGGTTGAGTCAAGGCACTATACAAAAAACTTTACACGTGTTATCTCATGGAACTCCAACATAATCCTAAGGTAGTTATTATGTCCATCCCCGTTTTGCAGCGGTGGAAACTGAGGCCCAAGAAGCTAAGTTACTCGCCCAAAATCACGCAATTATAAGTAAGTGGTGGAGTGGGCCATCTGACTAGATGGTGCCCTCCTCACTGTACCTTATTACCATTAACTGTGTGATATTGTTAGGCAGGATAGATAGCAAACCAAGGCAGAGACAGGGAGAGAGAGAGACAACTCACTCATTAATTCAGCAGTCCTGAGCCTGGTCAGCTAAGATTGCTGAGATGTTCAAAAATCACAAGAAAAAGCATGATAGCACAGGAGGAGGGGCAGACATGAACTTATGTATGTATCCTTTCCACTATCTGTGAAAGAAAGCCTTTGAAGCGTGTATTAATCCCAAGATCTAGAGAGGAGAGGAGGAGAAAGAAACTAGAAGCTGGTTCCAAGCATAAAACCCCTAAAAATCCCAGTAGTCAGAGTACTCAGATTAGCTGGGTGCCCCCTTGCAGCTTCATGCTCAAGTGTATTTCATAAATAAACTTACTATATCATTTCCACTCTATGTGTGGCCTCTTGCCTGAATTGCCTTGTAAGCAAGACAAGAGCCAGGGAGGGGGAGCCCCCTAACTTGAGTCTCCCCAGTAACAGTATGAGTGAGGGTGTATGTGGGAAGAGGCTGGGGCTGCCAAATCTTGAGTGTAAGCCCCATGAGGGTGGGGCCTTGTCTGTGTTGGCTTACCACTGCATTTCAGTGCTTGGCACCCAACACTTATTTACTGAAAGCAGTAGTTTGCAAATGGCTGTGCTAATTTTGCCTGGGTTGGAGGCAAATGGTTGCCTTGCACAGCTAAGCCTGAGCCTGCGGGCATGCTCTGTCTCATTTCTTTTCTCAAAATCCCACTGTCTGCTGTTTTCTGAAGCTTCCGTCCTTGGCTGTGGCCATGTTCTCCACTTTGCCCATGTAGCTTCTGCTTCCCTTCCTTCACCCCTCAGAGGAGACAGGACTTGTTCCAGATCTAAGGAGAGGCAGAGGAAATCAACGCAGACCTAGAAACAGTGGCATTTTGTTTCTCAAAAGAGCTTGGGTTTTAGAAGCTGCCAAAATTTGCTTCAGGTCTATCCTTTGCCACTTATTTGGCTTCCTCATATGTCATATGGAGAGAATAGTAGCATCTCCCTCAGAGTGAGGAAAAGACAGTAAAGTATCTGGCAGCCAGGAAACACCCTGGAATGGGAGGGAGTTTCCTAAACTAGCTGCCTGGCAAACCCAAATGGATTTGGCTAGAGCCGAGAAGCATTCGCAACTTTGAGGGGAAAAAAGGCAAGAAGGAGGCCAAAGGAGAATGGCAGTCCCTTAACATCCATAACCATGGTTCTCCATGGAAATCATATCCATTTATGTCAGTAGATTGTGAAGACAGGACAAAGGAAATGAAAATATCAGAAGTTAAAATTTCTGCTATTGTTTCCATTTAGGGAGATCCACCAAGTGCTAGATAGTTTACTCACATTATTGTCCTATTGGGTTGGCCAAAAAAGTTCGTTTATTTTTTTTCCATAAAATGGCTCTAGTAGTGCTTAGTTGTCTTTAACTGCATTCAAAACAATTTTGTTAGACTGTATTGTGACATATCACAATATGTCACATATTGTGTCATATCAGCATGCGTTTAAAAAAATTTACCAAAATTAGTGAATTTTTTGTGAAGCAATTTTAATATGAAAATGGAAGAAAATATGCAACACTTTTGGTATATAATGCTTTATTATTTCACTAAAAGTAAAAACAAGTGCAGAAAAAGGTGCATTGTATAGAGAAGGTGTTGTGACTAATCAAACATGTCAAAAGTGATTTTCTAAGTTTCATTCTAGGGATTTCTCACTGGACAATGATGCTCCACAGTCAGGTAGACCACTTGAAGTTGATAGCAATCAAATGAAGACATTAATTGAGAACAATCAGTGTTATACCATGCAGGAGATAGCCAACAGAGTCAAAATATCCAAATTAATAAAATTATTGATGAAAATGAAAAATGTGTCTTTATTTTACCGGAAACACTAAACAGACATTTTGGCTAACCCAGTATCTACCTGGCAGTACGCTATCATCTTTCACAGATGAGGAAAAAGTAGCTTGAAGAGGATGTCGTTTGTCTAAGGTGGTGAGAAGCACCAGAGCCTAAAACGCTGTATTTCATTCCTGCCACGTGAATGCTGGAACCTGCTCCTTTTGTAACCACAGAACAAGCTCAGAAATGGTCCTATCCTTTTTAATGAGATACTAAGTTGCTTTTCAGAGACAATAGACCAAGACTCCAAGTCATGCAGATGGGTAATGCACAAAGGAGAGAAATTTGACCTTCCCCTATACCTGGAACCAAAGAACCACCCCCCCCCCCCACTGATGCACACACAACTAAAGGACCTGGACATAACTAGAACTTAAACACTGAAACCCTTTCCGAACAAGGGTCTATTGTCCAGCAAGATCCAGTGTTCACACCCCTTTACAAGAAATGGCCAAGTTCCAAGTTTCCTCAGTTAAAACTTGCCGCACTGGTGCTTCAGCATACCTGTTCCTCCCAACCCATTAAAAACCCTTAATTTAGTCCAGTGAGCAAGATGGATTTGAGACACTATTAGGTCTCCCATCTTCTTAGTTTGGTGTCTTCTTGATCAACAAAACTTTCCTTACTCCAAACCCTGACATATTGAGTTTTGACCCATCAGGGACAAGAACTTCGGTCTGCTAACAGTTCAAGGCAAACTTGAATATTATCACCAAACAGGAAACTTGGAAAAGCAGGCAGTGCTTTGGAGTCCCTAGAAGCCAAGCCTGAGACAGGGTTCTTTGTGGACATTATTATTAGTGCACAGGAACAGGGAAGGGATGGACAGCTCCCAAGTGAAATACATAAGGAAAAATGGAAGCAGGATGGGGCAGAGGAAGAAGCTATGCAAGATGTGGGTTCAGCTGAAGTCAAGCTCAGCCTCATCCCATGGGAGCGCTGGAGCATAGGTGACAGGAGAAAGCTTTCAGCCTTGGAGGTAAGAAGGCCAAGCCTTCATACTCCCCTCGTCAGTCATTGGTTGCCACCTTTAGGGTTGCCGGATTTAGCAAGAAAAAATAAATACAGGTTGTGCAGTTAAATTTGAGTTTCAGAGAAACAATGAATAGGATATCTTTGTACTAAAAAAGCATTTGTTTCTCTGAAACTAAATTTAGCTGGGCATCTTGTATTTTATCTGGCAACCCTGGGAGGTGAGAGAAGAGAATGAGGCATGACATCTTAGGCACCTCCAGTTGTCTGAGGGTGGTTCTCGGGAGGAAGGGGACATCTATGAACCTTCTGCAGCCAACACTCATAGCAGGTGGGGGGTGGGTGCAGCCATCAATAAAGGGGACCTGGGAAGGACAGCAGCTCCCACTATGGACAGGGACTCTGAGGACGGCTCACCAGCTAATGTTAGAAGAATAGAAGTTCCTGCCCAAACTGGTAAGTCTAAGCCATGCCCATCAGCCCGGAGAGCCGCAGGTCACCCTAGCCCCTGGCCACCTCCATGAGGGTGTTTTCACTCCTGCGGAGTCATTCCCCTGCTTGTGTTGGAGTTGGAGCCAGGTTATTTAACTTCATCTCATCCAGCATTTCTGAAATGTATTTAAATAATGGAGGAGCCTTTCCCTAGAAACCTCTCCCTTACAAAGGCCCCTGGATGGAGAATCTGGGGAGGGGATGACTACCTGTACTTAAGCAGCCTGTTTCTAGAGGGCCCAAGATCCTTATCCAGAGATCCTTGCCTAGGGAATCAGTGGTCCGCACCCCCACTTTCTCTGGAGGACTCTGCATCCCCATTACAGGAATCTGGGATCTCTGTGGGTTCTGGCTTATAAAAGCCCCCAAGTATAGAGGTAGGTGAAAAGGGTAAGCAAGGAGTGGAGTGGGAAACAGTAATGTCCAGTATGATCCTATTTATGTTAAAAAACAAACAAACAAACAAACA